AATATCTTATCATTTTAGTGATTATAATATTATTATTGAGAACTATAATTGTGCCCATAATATTACTATTGAGAACCATAACTTCACCCAAAAAATTATTTTCTACAAATGCTATAATTATACTACCATGACATGATAGAAGTGAATGAATGAAATGAAAATAATTAATCGCATAATAATAACTATAATTTTATAATACTATAAAACATTGGAAGTATATCAATTCTAATTATTTTCTAGAAACTTTTACTAGATATTAAATTTCAATCAATTTATAAAATGTACTAGATATTATAACCTATCATTAATCGAATCATGAGCTGTTACTCCTCTTCAAAATTCTCTAGTTTAGTTAATGAAGATAAAACTGAGGGTTTTCTTCCTTCATGAGGTATGTATCTGTCAAGGCGATCCTATTTCTCCTTATCTCTTCATCTTGAGTATGGAGTATTTGTCCCTCAAAATTTCTAGCGGGGTGTCTGATGGTCTTTGTATTAGCATCAAAGCAAGTAAGCATGGACCCATTTTGCCCCATTTGTTCTTTACTGATGATTTAATTTTTATAGGTAAGGCTTCAATGGAGAGGTCCTTGATTTTTTTTGTACAAGATCTGGTCAAAAGGTCAACAATATTAATGCAAAATCCAAGATATTCTTTTCAGGAAATGTTGATCCTAGTACTAGAAATAATCTTAGCTCTTTTTTGGGGTTCCAACATACTACTGATCTTGGAAAGTACATGGGTATCCACAATTCGACGAATAGGGCTTCCAAGGAGAAATGTAACTTTATCCTTGATAATATCTGCTCCAAACTCTCCAGATGGAAATCCAGAGCTTTTCTATGGCTAGAAGAGTCATTTTTGTTTCTTTTGTGCTTTCTTCCATTCCCAATTTTTATATGCAATCCATGTGGCTCCCCTCTTTTGTGCAAAATGAGATCGATAGAATATCTAGAAATTTTATTTGGTGTCTACTAATTGGGGCAAAAAAAACTTCATTTGGTTAGTTGGGAGACGGTCTACCAACCTAAAGCACAAGGAGGGCTAGATATTTGCAGTGCGAAGAATGCCAACCTTGTGGCGATGGGCAAACTTAATTGGAGACTTCATATTGAAGAAAGAAAGATGTGGAGAGAAGTCCTTGCTCAAAAATATAGCATTACTAATATTAGATATCCCTTTCCTTCTGAAGGATCTCCTACCATCAAAAGTATTTCGAGGGGTTTACAACTTTCTAGAAATGGTTCTAAGTGGGTTCCTCAAGATGGTAGTTCCATTTTGTTTTGGTCTGATCACTAGTTTGGGTCTTCCCCTTTCAAGTCAATCTACTACGATCCCCCGCTTTAGAAGGCTCCCTCTGTTGTTGTTGTTGATGTGGTCTATAATAGGCAAGTGGACTTGCATTCCATTGGTTATCCTCTTGATCACAATTTTTTGGATTTTATTATTGCTAACTTTTCTACGACCAGCATGGGTGCTGATTCTTTCTCTTAGAAAAGGAATGTAATGGTTTATTCTCCTCAGCTTCTGCGTATTAGATGCTTGTTTCAATTTCTTCTTATGATATTGGGGGTTGGAATTGGATTTGGAAAATCCAAACCATCCCAAAAATTTGCATGTTTTTCTGGTTACCTTGTCATGGTAGAATCAAGTCTCTTGAGTATCTCCATACCCTTAATATATCATTCAAGATCTGTTGTGCAAAATCTGTAATGATTATGTGGAATCAATTGATCATATCTTTCGTGGTTGCAACTTGGTGTGGTTGTTCTTGAATCTCTCCTTCCTAGTATTCTTTCTCTTGACCAAACACTTCTTAGTTTTCTCGATTGGCTTAAGGCTCATGCTCGACAGTTGTCTCCAAGCCCCATTCTCAACATTCCTTGGGCTATGGTTTTTTGTTATGCTATTTGGATCATTTGGAATCATAGAAACCATGCCCTCTATCACCAATCTGGTTCTGATGCCTATAATGTGCGTCAGTTGATCATTGAACATGTGGTTGAATTCTGGTCAGCCCAAAATCACCCTCCTGTGGTGTCTTTGAGATACTCAATATAGATGACTCTGCTATTGGGAATCCAAGGGAAGCTGGGTGTGGTGGACTATTCCGCGACTCTTTGGACCACTGGACCATTGGTTATGTGCACAAAATTGGTATCATGACTACTTTTGTTGCTGAACTTTGAGCCATTCATGATGAACTTCATCTAGGTATTAATTTCATTTGGACAATATGATTATTGAGATAGATTGTCAAGTGGCTTTTCTCTTGCTCACTGGTTATCCCAATCTTCATCATCCTCATAGCTCTCTTATTACGGATTGCAGGGTCCTTTTGAGAATGATCCCTCACCTCCAGATGAAACATGTTCGGTGGGAATGTACTATGGCTGCTGATGCCATTGCTAAGAACGTCCACTCCTTTTTCAATTTTATTATTTTGCAACAATGTCCTCCGAATGTTGATCCTTTATGTGTAGTTGACATGGTTGGGGTCTACTACTCCGGGAATTGATTGTAGTTGTATTTTGTATCTAGCTTCATTTTTAACGCAACTCTATTTACCCAAAAAAGGAAAAAATGGCATGAGTAGTACTAGAAGTCTAGATCCCAGCAACTTATGGTTGAGAGTGCATGCACTCTATTCCATGGGGCATGGAAGCCTGAGTGTATTTTAAGAACATAGTTCTTTTCCTATAGAAACCATAATTTTAATCCAAGAGGTTTAAAGTTAATGAGCTCACTAAATAAGAGAAACGAATTTTTTTGGATGGGTTAATACAGATGAGCTCCAAGATAATAAAGATAGAAGGGTAGGGAAAACAAAGGAAGGTATTGCCTTGACCAATGCCAAGGGTTTACTATTGTATTGACTTTGATTATTTTTATTAAGTATAACCCTTCAAAACATTTTAAAACTTTAGTTTCAAATATCATTAGATTTGAATTTTTTTTTATATATAACATTCAAGGTTTAGTTTGTAATATGGTATGTTTCTTATTTTATTAATTAATATTTGATTCTTTGTGAAAACTAATAAAAAAAGTAAATTTTTTTATATATTTTTTAATTTTGATTTGAATGATTTATCTTTAACAATATTAGAGATAAGTTACTCTTAAATTATACCCAAATTAGTATGAGAAAAAAGGTGAGTCATTATTGTGCAAGTTTTGATTATTTAAATCTTATAATATTGGTTACTTAAAAGTTAAGAATGGTTAAATTTAACCTCCTAAAGTTTCAGTTATGGCAATTGATTCCTCCAAAATACAAAGGTAAGAGGAAAACATTAAAGAAAAGGAAGGGTGAGGTCCCATGAGGCACCACATTCATGTAAATATGTCGGTACTCATACCAACCATTTCAATTAGGTTGGCCATCTAATTCTAACAAATGAAAAAGAGGTTGGAAACATAATCAAGTCTTGATTAAATCATTGGGAATCTTTTTCTCATCAAATGAGATTGTATAGTCATTTTTAATTTAATTGAAATAAGAAAAATATCACCTGCGAATATGCTTTATTAGTGGAGTCTAGATTTCAGTAAGAAGATTTTAATTTTAAATTTTAAAAGTTAAAATATTTAGAAAAATAAAGTTTTTATTATTATTTTTTTAATATCTCAGTTTCCAAGCTTCATGGTATATATTGACACAAAAGATAATAAATGATTTTGACTGAGGTTTTATCTTATGGTATTCCTTTTATTTATTTTGAGTAAATTTACTTTGATTTTTTGACTTTTCAACTATAAATTTTAGATGAAATTTAATATAATATATAAATAATGATAATAAAATTTTTATTAAGTAAAATACTAAACAAGAACTATATATAAGACAAAAAAATTTTAATTGTTGTTCATATACATTATTAAATTTTCATTTAGAATTTATATTTTAAAAGCCAAATTAGATTTACTAAAAGTTAACAAAGGAAACATGATTTAGCATTATTAGATATACCAAATAAAATAAAATAAAAAAGTGGGAAACTCTGTAGAGGATACAACTGAAACAAGTAAAAGATGGTGGGGTAAGAGACTTATATATAAGGACTTACTGGGATCAAACTTTAAATATTAAAGCCTACACATTCAATTTATCCCAAACTTTTCAGTTCCCAGTATTATTTTTCTTCTCTCCAGAGACAAAAAGCATCCATCACGGCAAAAGGGGTTCTGCAACTTTTTTCCTGCGCTTCTTCTGCTTCAAGTTCTCTCCTTTTTCAGTTAGGGTTTGTGGGTTTTCCACTTTACTTTTATCCCTTGAAGATGGTAGACTTTGCTCGCGTGCAAAAGGAGCTCCAAGAATGTAGCAGAGACATGGAGGCATCGGGTATTAGGGTCAGCCCTAAATCTGACAACCTCGCGGGCTTAACTGGCACAATCCCTGGCCCTATCGGCACTCCTTATGAAGGCGGCAGCTTTGAAATCGACATTACATTACCTGGTAATAGAAAACATGAAGTTGGGTGCTAATGTTTTCATTTGCACAAAACACTCCCTTTTTGATTGCTGAGGGCTTGAATTTATTGGTCTTGGAGCTATTAATTGGGTTATTTTGTTTGGTTTGTTATTTGATTTCAGTTGGGTGTTTTTTTTTCTCCTTGAATTATAGATAATTTGAGTAATTGCTGCCTATAATGCCTTCAAATTACGTGCTTTCTTCGGTTTTCTAAAGACTTGTTGTTTGGATTTTTTGGAGCTGAGAACTGATTTAAGTTAATGATTGTTAATGGGTACGAGTTCTTATTTACTCTTCAAAAAATGGATTGAATGGAACCCCCGATTTAAGTTTCAGCCGTCTGCATATCTTTTCTTTAGTGTTCTATCACCACAAAACTATGGTGTTCGTAGCTGTTGCAAAGGGCGTGTAGAATGGCATGCTTATATTGTGCTAGATGTTTCTTTTGTATTGAGAATGTATGACACTTTGAAAGAATGTTTTTGGTTCTGTTGGGAGAATGCTCTGTTTGGTATGCGTTCAGTCAACCTTAGTGATTTCTGATACTAAAGGAATCACTAATAACTCTTCTTTTTGATTGATGATTGGTTTTATTCTGCAGATGGGTATCCTTTTGAGCCTCCCAGGATGAAGTTTGTGACTAAAGTTTGGTATGAATATTGTGTAATCTTATTTTGGTTTTAATAATGCTTTTATTTTTACTTTTGTGCAGAAAATGGTTGCCTTAAAGTCATTTCTTAATAGTTCTTACTGTGATATATATTGTTCCAAGTATTCTACACTACATGACATGCATAAGAAAGTTCCAACGTGTGTCTTTGATAGAGTTCTTGTTGTTTGATGATATTGGAAGAAAGTGGAAATATGCAGGATGTAGATACTAGATTCTTAAACTTTTTTTATTTGTACTAAATGTTTACATCATTGCAATCTTTTGTAGACGCAGGTGAAGATGTGCAAGTACATCAGTCTAGGATTCATGGCCTTCTTTTTTTTTCTTTTTTTTTTAAGAAAAAAGTTTTGGCTTTTAAAATACACAAGGTAGTTGACTCAGGCTCAGAACTGTTGTTTCTACCGTTTTATGGTAAAAGTTATTGTTTTTACATGGCAGTGGTCTCCGCGTGAATGTGTTTTACTTAACTCTCAGATTGTAAAAGTTATTTAAATGGTATTCCACTGGAAGTTAAATTATTACCAAAATTTGAAGATTTGCCATTTTTTTTTCTCCCTCTTATTTTACCTTTATGTGGCTGGATTCAATTCCGCGTGTGAGGAAATCTTCTGGCTTTAGGTCCCTTTATTTATTATTATTATTATCATTATTTTTTCTACATAAATTGACCTTAGGTCCTTGAAATTGAGGGATTGTTGGCTGGTTATAAAATATTTATTTGATGGCCAACTGTAGCATAAAAATGCAAGTGATTAGGTTTTAAGTTGATCAACCATTGAACCATCGTTGTTATATGTACCCACTGAAGGCACCCAAATATTAGCAGTCAAAGTGGTGCAATATGCCTGGATATCTTGAAGGACCAGTGGAGTCCAGCACTGACTCTGAAGACTGCTCTTGTTTCCATCCAAGCTTTGCTATCTGCTCCTGAACCTGATGACCCTCAAGATGCTGTAGTAGCACAACAGGTTTTCTTTTGCTTGATTCTACCATTCCTTGATGTCTCCATGTGTATATGTACAGAAGCTCTTTCTCCTGAATTTTACATACCTACTGTTCGTGCACATGCAATATGTTGGAGATATTAAAACTTGTTATTCTGACAATGGTGTTAAATTTTATCACTTGTAGTTATTGTTTCTTTTCTTTACTGCAGTATCTTAGGGACTATCAGACCTTCGTTGGTACAGCTCGTTACTGGACAGAATCTTTTGCCAAGGCCTCTTCTCTGGGGGTAGAGGAAAAGGTATGTGCAGTGTTTGTGATTGATACATGTGCTGTTTATTCTTTACAAAGTTATTGAAGTGAAAATGTTGTCTGGGAATGCTGTCTGGGCTATTCCCGAGGTTTAGCATCCACACTCAATAACTGACATTTGCTTTGCAGCATGTGTATTTTTCATTAGTATTTGACGTTTGACCTGTATGAAATAGAATTGGTAAAAGGAAAAAGAAATAAAATTCCTAAATCGGTTTTCAATTGGCACAGGTGCAACGACTTGTTGAAATGGGTTTTGCTGAAAGTTTGGTGAGGAGTACACTAGAAGCTGTTGGTGGCGATGAAAATCTGGCTCTTGAAAGACTTTGCTCCAGCTAAATGTCTCAGAGCTCCAATTGTTCAAACTGCTTTCTCAAGCACCTAGTGAATCTTAAAATCTTATAGGGACACCGGATTCTGTTTGAATATAAGCTATTCTCCTTTTGTCCAGAAATGATTTCCGGATTTTCTGCCTCCTCATGGCCTAGTTTATTTTGTGTTCTTGGACATATATGCTGCTTAAGGCACCTAATTAACCAGCTAAACATGGTGATGAAAATGCTTCTTTTGAAAACGTGGTTTGAAATTATGAATGGTCATTTCTTTGCTCAACCAATGGCTATAATGAAAGTGTAGAGACCACTCAATATTATGCCAAGGTAGATGCTGCAATTTTTTTCTGAGAATTTGATGTTAGTATAAGGGCTATTCTCACTCGATATGGTTGTGTTTAGATTATAATTAGAAATTTAGAACCATGCTATTTATTTTATAATATCAAGTTTCTATCTTTGTTCTCTACAAGCTTCTTAGTGGTTTAAATCAATGGAGTATCTTGGTCGGCATTTGTGAACCTGTTGATATCTTAACTGGTTTGACATTATTTACTTATAGATGCCATTACTCTGCCCTAAATAATTTTCGTGGATCGACACACAGATTATGAAAATAAGGAGTTTGTGTATGTTCCCATATCCTTGATGGGTGGGACAATAGTGACCACAAATGAGGATGTGAATCTCATTAAGCGCAAACCATATACCATGTCTGGAATTGAAGAAAATCCAATCTTTGTAGTGAACCCTGTATTGGAAGGGTTGGTTGGATGCTCAAGATTCAACTCAACCAAAACACACAATGCGAGAAGAAGAAAGAAAAATACAAAGCAGGAAGTAGAAAAACCAGACTTTATTCTTCTGAATTGGTGCTTATGATTCTGGAGTACTTACATATACTGCAAATCAAGAAACATTCGGTCAGGAGAAAAAAAAAAAAAAGGGAAGAAGAAAGAATCAAGAGCAATGATAGATGGCAACTCTCCTTGAAGGTGATGGTTGGCAAATAAAAAAATTCATCATTGCCATGACCACAACCAGCAGCAGCCCGAGCAGCAATTCATCTAAGTCTGAGCAGAAGCTTACCATTTTAATGGTAATTAAAATCAAAGAACTAATACTAACTGGAGAAGAATGGAAAGAGTAAATGAAATATTGGGACTCTCTTTACAGAGGAAACACTCACTCCCATCCCCCACCAGGCACCCATTGACAACAGCCACTGAGATTCTAGCACCATACATTCAATTGTGGCTCTTTCATTCTCTGTCCCCACTATCATTTAGCTTCTTCTTGTATGCTAGTGCCTTTGTCTCGATTCTAACCTTAACCTGCGGACTGTAGCCATTGGCAAACTCTCACCGCTACCCCCTAATTAACACAAAATCGCACC